GTGAAGCGTCCCTTCACCGCCAACCCGTACTCTGTGTAACCACCATCAGTGCTAACATATGCGAGGAATTCAAGCCCCTTCCCGGGTGCCTGTCGCATCCATCCCATGCCCTTGCTGCTGAAGTCAAAGCCGGAGGCCTTGCAGACCAGGGTCAGGGACCCCCCGGGACTCACGAGGCCCCCTCCGGACTCATCCAAGGTCTCGGCCGCCCGCAGCCCTGGGGAGGAAGGACAGAGAGCGGTGGGCTCAGCCGCACGGCACGGGCCCCCGCACGGCCGTGGGGAGCCGGGGCCGCCGGCAGCCTCCGCGGGACCGGGCCCTACCTGGGACGGCGGCCAGGAGGAGGAGGAGGGCGAAGGCGTGAGGCCGAGGACTCATGGTGGGGAAGGGAAGGGGTGCTGGGTGCTGTGGGGACGCTGCGTATTTGAAGGCACCCAAGGGGGCATTAATTGGGTTAACCCTCCTTGGGTTATTTCACTGAATTGAGTTATTTTGTAATAAGTCAACGGAGCCCACCGCTCTCTGTCCTTCCTCCCCAGGGCTGCGGGCGGCCATGACGTTGGATGAGTCCGGAGGGGGCCTCGTGAGTCCCGGGGGGTCCCTGACCCTGGTCTGCAAGGGCTCTGGATATACCTTCAGCAGCTACACCATGGATTGGGTGCGACAGGCACCTGGGAAGGGGCTCGAAGAGGTCGCAGCTATTAACAACGATGGTAGTAGCCCATGGTACGCGTCGGCGGTGAAGGGACGCTTCACCATCTCCAGGAACAACGGGCAGAGCACGGCCACCCTGCAGATGAACAGCCTCAAGGCCGAAGACACCGCCACCTCCTACTGCGCGAAATGGGCTGGTAGTGGTGGTTGTGGTTATGCTGCTAGGATTGATGGGGCTGCTGGTGCTAGACCTGCTGGTTACCCTGGTTGTATTACTGGTCTTGGTGATGGTCTTTGTGATGATCGTAATTACCCGGGTGATGCTAATATTGTCAGCCATCTATACACGAGCACAATCAGCACTCCAATAACCACTAGCACTTTTCGCGCAGTAGTAGGTGGCGGTGTCTTCGGCCTTGAGGCTGTTCATCTGCAGGTTGAGCGTGCTCTGCCCGTCGTTCCTGGAGATGGTGAAGCGTCCCTTCACCGCCGATGCGTACAATGTGCCACTACCATCGTTCCTAATAGCTGCGACGATCTCGAGCCCCTTCCCAGGTGCCTGTCGCACCCACTCCATGTTGTAGCTGCTGAAGGTGTATGCGGAGCCCTTGCAGACCAGTGTCAGGGACCCCCCAGGCTGAGCCCACCGCTCTCTGTCCTTCCTCCCCAGGGCTGCGGGCGGCCGCCACCTTGGATGAGTCCGGAGGGGGCCTCGTGAGTCCCGGGGGGTCCCTGACCCTGGTCTGCAAGGGCTCCGGCTTCACCTTCAGCAGCTACAACATGGCATGGATCCGGCAGGCACCCAGGAAGGGGCTGGAGTGGGTCTCAGGTTTTAACAACGATGGTGGTACCACATACTACGCACCGGCAGTGAAGGGACGCTTCACCGTCTCCAGGGACAATGGGCAGAGCCTGCTCTTCCTACTGATGAATGACCTCAAGGCCGAAGACACCGGCACCTACTACTGCGCAAAAAGTGCTGATGGTTACGGTGTTGGTGCTGACGATATTGCTGGTCCTGGTGCTCCTGGTGACCTTGGTGCTGGTGTTGGTGGAGTTAATCCTGTCAGCCATCAACACCACCACCATTATCACCACAACCACTACAAGCACCTTTCGCGCAGTAGTAGGTGGCGGTGTCTTCGGCCTTGAGGCTGTTCATCTGCAGGGTGAGCGTGCTCTGCCCGTTGTTCCTGGAGATGGTGAAGCGTCCCTCCACCGCCGGCGCGTACCATGGGCTACTACCATCACTGTAAATGCTCGCGACCCACTCGAGCCCCTTCCCGGGCACCTGTCGCACCCATGCCATGTGGTAGCTGCTGAAGGGGAAGCTGGAGATGTTTGGGACTACCCATGCACTGCAGCGAGCTCTGTTTTACCCCCAGTATCACAACATTTTGTTCCAAAAATTAAAGTATTTTCAGATTTGTGGCTACCCTTGCCCCAAATAGAAGAACGCGTTGCCTCTTATGCTTACTCTTGACCTCAGTATGGACAACGCTTTTGCCCTTTCATGGGTATTTTTGCCCCAAATACAGAGGTGTTTGCCTCTATATACCCTCTTTGCCCCAAACATGAGCACCTGGCTCATTTTCAGGGGCATTGTGGTCCCACGTTGGGGGTCTTTGCCCTTAATGGATATTTTTCAATGCCAATAATACACATTTCCTTCTTTTTAACACCATTTTTATTGAAATTGGGGTGTTGATTATTATCCTGGCCATTAACTCACATATCACATGGATTTTTTCCTCCTTTTCCCTTTTTTCCCAGAATACTAGCATATTTTTAGCACTTTGGGGCCATCTGAGTCCAAAATGTGGGAATGTCGTCCCACTCCAGAGATCAAAATCCCCGATTTGAGAAGTTTTTGCTGAGACCTGCAGCGCTGCCCAGCCAAGCGCAGCCAGCCAGATGTTTGTGCGGGGGCTATTTCCGGGCAGAAAAACGAGTTATTTTGGTACGGCCTGAAACCTCATCAGCTGGAGCAGCCCCAAAACACGGCTGCTTTCTGTTTTCTGAGTCCATTTTAGAGGAAATTGCAATTAAATTAATCAGCATTAATATCAAATAACCCATCCCATTAAATATTTCCATTTCATAAGTGATCAGGGATCAAGATGAAATAACTGAAAGCACCCCAAGAATTAGTGCGGGGTAGGGAATTAAATGGAATTATGAAGAAATGAAACAAATGCTTGTCAAAGATCAAAATGAAATAATCCCAGAGGCCCATTTAATTAGAATATGGTGGAAAATACAAAAAAAATCAAGTTTGTTGAGTTCCTTGTCTTCACCAAAGAACCACAATGACTTCCAGTCAAGAATCAACCATGAAATAATTGAGTGCATGCAATTAGTGAGTGCGTGGTATGGAATGCAATGAAATACGCCAAGGAGGAAACGCAATGAAGTCCCTTCTCAGCGCCTTCAAATACGCCCCTCAACAGCATCCCCACAGCACCCAGCACCCCTTCCCTTCCCCACCATGAGTCCTCGGCCTCACGCCTTCGCCCTCCTCCTCCTCCTGGCCGCCGTCCCAGGTAGGGCCCGGTCCCGCGGAGGCTGCCGGCGGCCCCGGCTCCCCACGGCCGTGCGGGGGCCCGTGCCGTGCGGCTGAGCCCACCGCTCTCTGTCCTTCCTCCCCAGGGCTGCGGGCGGCCGCGAATTTGGACGAGACTGGAGGGGGCCTCGTGAAGCCTGGGGGGTCCCTGACCCTGGTCTGCAAGGGCTCCGGATACACCTTCAGCAGCAACTACAACACCGAGTGGGTGCGACAGGCACCTCGGAAGGGGCTCGAGTTCGTCGCGGGTATTAGCGGTAGTGGTAGTTACACAGGCTACGCGCCGGCGGTGAAGGGACGCTTCACCATCTCCAGGAACAACGGGCAGAGCACGCTTACCCTGCAGATGAACAGCCTCAAGGCCGAAGACACCGCCACCTACTACTGCGCGAAAGAGGCTTACGGTGGTTCTTTTAATCCTAATGAAATTGATGCTGCTCCTGGTGCTGCTGGTGATATTTGTTCTGGTGCTGGTCCTGATAATCGTACTGGTGATGTTACTATTTTGACCCATCAAGGCCATCAGCACTATCAATATTCCAACCACCACTATCAGTAGCTCTCGCGCATGTAACTATGTAACTACCAACACTGTAAATACCCGCGACCCATTCGAGGCCCTTCCCGGGTGCCTGTCGCACCCACTCGGTGTTGTAGTTGCTGCTGAAGGTGAAGCCGGAGGCCTTGCAGTCCAGGGTCAGGGACCCCCCCAGGCTGAGCCCACCGCTCTCTGTCCTTCCTCCCCAGGGCTGCGGGCGGCCGCCACCTTGGATGAGTCCGGAGGGGGCCTCGTGAGTCCTGGCGGGTCCCTGACCCTGGTCTGCAAGGGCTCCGGCTTCACCTTCAGCAGCTGGGGCATGCAGTGGGTGCGACAGGCACCTGGGAAGGGGCTTGAGTGGGTCGCACAAATTAGCAGCAGTGGTAGTAGCACATACTACGCGCCGGCGGTGAAGGGACGCTTCACCATCTCCAGGAACAACGCGCAGAGCACGGCCACCCTGCAGATGAACAGCCTCAAGGCCGAAGACACCGCCACCTACTACTGCGCGAAAGGTGCTTACGGTGCTTATGGTTATACTCCTGATCCGATTGATGGTGCTGCTGGTGATGGTTCAGGACGTACCACTACAACCACTGTAAATAACCACAAGGAATTGGACTCTGCTTGACACCCTGTCTGGGGGAAGGACAATTCCTGCCCAAGGTCTTCACAGCCCAGCACCCCTCGATCTGGGGAAAAGTAGCCATGAAAGGGTAAAAGTGTAATCATAGAAATGTGAACAGTAAGATAAAAAGAGTCAACGTGTCCGTCTATTTGAGGAGTCCCAAACATCCCCAGCTTCAGCAGCTACAACATGAACTGGGTGCGACAGGCACCCGGGAAGGGGCTCGAGTTCGTCGCGAGTATTAGCACCGATGGTAGTACCACAAGATACGCGCCGGCGGTGAAGGGACGCTTCACCATCTCCAGGAACAACGGGCAGAGCACGCTCACCCTGCAGATGAACAGCCTCAAGGCCGAAGACACCGCCACCTACTACTGCGCGAGAGAGTATGATGGTGGTCAGGCTCCTGATGGTGCTGGTGGTGTTGTCAATTTTGGTCATGTTGGTGTAGTTGCCCTTCATGATGATGATCATGGTGGTGTTGTTGCTGGTGATCCTGCTGTCGATATTGATGGTGAGGAGAAGAGCTGTGCGTGGAGAACCTGATGGTGGCTGGGATGAGTTGTGTTGGGGCCTTTCCGTGCGCCGTGCACTAGGCCAGCACCAGCAGCACCATCATCAATCTCATTAGCACCAGCACCACAACCACTACTATAACCTTTCGCGCAGTAGTAGGTGGCGGTGTCTTCGGCCTTGAGGCTGTTCATCTGCAGGGTGGCCGTGCTCTGCCCGTTGTTCCTGGAGATGGTGAAGCGTCCCTTCACCGCCGACGCGTAGCTTGTGTAACTACCACTACTGGTAATACCCGCGACCCACTCGAGCCCCTTCCCAGGCGCCTGTCGCACCCACTCCATGGCGTAGCTGCTGAAGGTGAAGCCGGAGCCCTTGCAGACCAGGGTCAGGGACCCCCCGGGACTCACGAGGCCCCCTCCGGACTCAGAGAACCCGAGCACCGTGTTTCCTGTCACTCAGCTCCTCCACATCTCCCTTCCCTCCTCCAGGCTCTGCTGCCGTGTGGCCGTCTGGCACCACATCTCCTCTCTTCAGATCTCACAGCAGTCCTTGGATAGTCCCAAACATCTCCGGCTTCTCCTTCAGCAGCTACGCCATGATGTGGGTGCGACAGGCACCTGGGAAGGCGCTTGAGTGCGTCGCGGGTATTGACAGCTATGGTAGTAGCACATACTACGCGTCGGCGGTGCAGGGACGCTTCACCATCTCCAGGGACAACGGGCAGAGCACGGCCACCCTGCAGATGAACAGCCTCAAGGCCGAAGACACCGCCACCTACTACTGCGCGAGACGTTGTCGTGCTCCAGGTAGTGCTGCTGCTGCTGCTGGTGATGGTGACTGCGCTGCTGATGGAGGTGTTAGTGGTGATGATGATGCTAGACATGATGATGACAGAGAGTATCGTGACAGTGGTTGGAGTGGCGATAGTGCTCGAATATGCAACTATCACATTCACGAGCACTATTAAGACCCCCGAGACCTTCATCAACATCATCGTCACCATCGCCAACATAATCAACAGCACCAACACCATTAAGATCCATAACACCTTCAACATCCGCAACACCATTAACACCACCAACACCAGTAGCAGCACCAACACTATCATCATGGCGATCACCACAACCTGCATCACCAGCAGCACCATTGCCAGCAGCACGAGCAATCCCATAAGCATAATCATTACCGTAACCACTAGCAGCAGCTTTCGTGCAGTAGTAGGTGGCGGTGTCTTCGGCCTTGAGGCTGTTCATCTGCAGGGTGAGCGTGCTCTGCCCGTTGTTCCTGGAGATGGTGAAGCGTCCCTGCACCACCGATGCGTAGTCTGTGTAACTACTACTGCTGTAAATACTCGCAACGTATTCGAGCCCCTTCCCGGGTGCCTGTCGCATCCATCCCATGTCGGTGCTGCTGAAGTCAAAGCCGGAGCCCTTGCAGACCAGGGTCAGGGACCCCCCGGGACTCACGAGGCCCCCTCCGGACTCATCCAAGGTGGCGGCCGCCCGCAGCCCTGGGGAGGAAGGACAGAGAGCGGTGGGCTCAGCCGCACGGCACGGGCCCCCGCACGGCCGTGGGGAGCCGGGGCCGCCGGCAGCCTCCGCGGGACCGGGCCCTACCTGGGACGGCGGCCAGGAGGAGGAGGAGGGCGAAGGCGTGAGGCCGAGGACTCATGGTGGGGAAGGGAAGGGGTGCTGGGTGCTGTGGGGACGCTGTGTGTTTGAAGGCGCCCAAGGGGGCATTAATTGGGTTAACCCTCCTTAGGTTATTTCAGTGAATTGAGTTATTTCATAATAAGTCAACGGAGCCCAACGTCCTCTGTCCTTCCTCCCCAGGGCTGCGGGCGGCCGAAACCTTGGATGAGTCCGGAGGGGGCCTCGTGAGTCCCGGGGGGTCCCTGACCCTGGTCTGCAAGGCCTCCGGCTTCACCTTCAGCAGCTACAACATGCAGTGGGTGCGACAGGCACCAGGGAAGGGGCTTGAATACGTCGCAGCTATTAGCACTGATGGTAGTTACACAGCCTACGCGCCGGCGGTGAAGGGACGCTTCACCGTCTCCAAAAACAACGGGCAGAGCACGGCCACCCTGCAGATGAACAGCCTCAAGGCCGAAGACACCGCCACCTACTACTGCGCGAGAGGTGGTGCTGGTAGTGCTTGGAGTGGTGGTAGTGCTGGTGGTGTTGATGGCTGAAAATATTAGAGTCACCAGTACCATCATAAATATCACAAACACCATCACCAACACCATCAGTCTGACCAGTACCACAACCAGTGTTACCAGCAGCTCCAGCACCAACAGCACAATCAAGCCAACGAGGAGTACCACCACCATAACTACCAGCAGCTTTCGCGCAGTAGTAGGTGGCGGTGTCTTCGGCCTTGAGGCTGTTCATCTGCAGGGTGGCCGTGCTCTGCCCGTTGTTCCTGGAGATGGTGAAGCGTCCCTTCACCGCCGACGCGTACCATGGGCTACTACCATCACTGTAAATACTCGCGACCCACTCGAGCCCCTTCCCGGGCGCCTGTCGCACCCATGCCATGTGGTAGCTGCTGAAGGGGAAGCTGGAGATGTTTGGGACTACCCATGCACTGCAGCGAGCTCTGTTTTACCCCCAGTATCACAACATTTTGTTCCAAAATATAAATTACATTCCTATTTTTGGCCATCCTTCTCCCAAATAGAAGAACGCGTTGCCTCTTATGCTTACTCTTGACCTCAGTATGGTCATGCTTTTGCCCTTTCATGGGTATTTTTACCCCAAATACAGAGATGTTAGCCTCTATATACCCTCTTTGCCCCAAATATGAGCACCTGGCCCATTTTCAGGGGCAATGTGGCCACAAAATGGGGGGTCTTTGCCATTTATGGATATTTTTCAATGCAAATAATACACATTTCCTACTTTTTAACACCAGTTTGAATGAAATTGGGGTGTTGATTATTATCCTCTTCATTAACGCACATATTACATGGATTTTTTTCCTCCTTTTCCTTTTTTTCCCAGAATCCTAACATATTTTTAACACTTTGGGGGCAGCTGAGTCCAAAATGTGGGAATGTCTTTACACTTTTTATATAAAAACCCCCGATTTGAGAAGTTTTTGCTGAGACCTGCAGCGCTGCCCAGCCAAGCGCAGCCAGCCAGATGTTTGTGCGGGGGCTATTTCTGGGCAGAAAAACGAGTTATTTTGGTACGGCCTGAAACCTCAGCAGCTGGAGCAGCCCCAAAACACGGCTGCTTTCTGTTTTCTGAGTCCATTTACGAAGAGATTGCAATTCAATTACTCAGCATTAATATCAAATAACCCATCCAATTAAGTATTTCCATTTCATAAGTGATCAGGGATCATGGTGAAATAACTCAAAGCACCCCATGAATTAATGCACGGTAGGGAATTAAATGGAATAATGAAGAAATGAAACAAATGCTACTCAAAGATCAAAATGAAATAATTCCAGAGGCCCAATTAATTAGAATATGGTGGAAAATGCCCCAAAAATCAACTTTGTTGAGTTCCTTGTCTTCACCAAAGAACTGCAATGAGTTCCAGTCAAGAATCAACCATGAAATAATTGAGTGCATGCAATTAATGAGTGCGTGGTAAGGAATGCAATGAAATACCCCAAGGAGGAAACGCAATGAACGCCCACTCCTGGAACCTTCAAAAACGCCCATCAACAGCATTCCAACAGCACCCAGCACCCCTTCCCTTCCCCACCATGAGTCCTTGGCCTCACGCCTTCACCCTCCTCCTCCTCCTGGCCGCCGTCCCAGGTAGGGCCCGGTCCCGCGGAGGCTGCCGGCGGCCCCGGCTCCCCACGGCCGTGCGGGGGCCCGTGCCGTGCGGCTGAGCCCACCGCTCTCTGTCCTTCCTCCCCAGGGCTGCGGGCGGCCGCCACCTTGGATGAGTCCGGAGGGGGCCTCGTGAGTCCCGGGGGGTCCCTGACCCTGGTCTGCAAGGGCTCCGGCTTCACCTTCAGCAGCTGGGGCATGCAGTGGGTGCGACAGGCACCTGGGAAGGGGCTCGAGTGGGTCGCACAAATTAGCAGCACTGGTAGTGCCACATACTACGCGCCGGCGGTGAAGGGACGCTTCACCATCTCCAGGAACAACGGGCAGAGCACGGTCACCCTGCAGATGAACAGCCTCAAGGCCGAAGACACCGCCACCTACTACTGCGCGAAAGCTGCTGGTAGTGGTGGTTGGAATATTGATAGTGCTGATGGCCTTGATGGGTCAAAATACTAACATCACCAGTACGATTATCAGGACCAGCACCAGAACAAATATCACCAGCAGCACCAGGAGCAGCATCAATTTCATTAGGATTAAAAGAACCACCGTAAGCACATTTCGCGCAGTAGTAGGTGGCGGTGTCTTCGGCCTTGAGGCTGTTCATCTGCAGGGTGAGCGTGCTCTGCCCGTTGTTCCTGGAGATGGTGAAGCGTCCCTTCACCGCCGGCGCGTACTCTGTGTAACCACCACTACTGGTAATACCCGCGACGAACTCGAGCCCCTTCCCAGGTGCCTGTTGCACCCAGTTCATGTTGTAGCTGCTGAAGCTGGGGATGTTTGGGACTCCTCAAATAGACGGACACGTTGACTCTTTTTATCTTACTGTTCACATTACTATGATTACACTTTTACCCTTTCATGGCTACTTTTCCCCAGATCTAGGGGTGCTGTGCTGTGAAGACCTTGGGCAGGAATTGTCCTTCTCCCAGACAGGGTGTCCAGCAGAGTCCAATTCATTGCGGGTATTATCAGTGGTGGTAGTGGTACGTCCTGAACCATCAGCAGCAGCACCATCAATCGGATCAGGAGTATAACCATAAGCACCGTAAGAACCTTTCGTGCAGTAGTAGGTGGCGGTGTCTTCGGCCTTGAGGCTGTTCATCTGCAGGGTGGCCGTGCTGTACCAGTAGCTCCTGGAGATGGTGAAGCGTCCCTGCACCGCCGACGCGTAGTAAGTGGTACTATCAGTGTTAATAGCTGCGACGTATTCGAGCCCCTTCCCGGGTGCCTGTCGCACCCAATACATGGCGTAGCTGCTGAAGGTGAAGCCGGAGGCCTTGCAGACCAGGATCAGGGACCCCCTGGTGCAAGTTTGGGGCATGGAGCAGGAAATTTGGGCTTAGTTCAGTACCTTGGGGTCAATGGAATGAGTCTGGTTCAGTAAATAATTTTGGGTGGAATGCCAGGGATTTGGGTGATGAAGATGAGCGATGTGACCAGCACCACCACAACCACCACCAGCACCACCATCAGCACCACAATCAATGCCAAGACCGTCAACATCACCACGACCATTTTTAATGTCACCACCACCATCAATGTAACCAGCACCAGGAGCACCAGCAATGTCACTACCAGCAGCTGTAGTATGACTACTAGCACTTTTCGCGCAGTAGTAGGTGGCGGTGTCTTCGGCCTTGAGGCTGTTCATCTGCAGGGTGGCCGTGCTCTGCCCGTTGTTCCTGGAGATGGTGAAGCGTCCCTTCACCGCCGGCGCGTACTCTGTGTAACTACCATCATCGTCAATACCCGCGACCAACTCGAGCCCCTTCCCGGGTGCCTGTCGCACCCAGCTCATGCCGTAGTAGTTGAAGGTGAAGTCGGAGCCCTTGCAGACCAGGGTCAGGGACCCTCCAGGACTCACGAGGGTACCTCCAGACTCATCCAACATCAAGGCCGCCCGCAGCCCTGGGGAGGAAGGACAGAGAGCGGTGGGCTCGTGAGTCCTGGGGGGTCCCTGACCTTGGTCTGCAAGGGCTCCGGCTTCACCTTCAGCAGCTACAGCATGGGATGGATCCGACAGGCACCCGGGAAGGCTCTTGAGTTCGTCGCGAGTATTAGCAGCGATGGTAGTACCACAAGATACGCGCCGGCGGTGCAGGGACGCTTCACCATCTCCAGGAACAACGGGCAGAGCACGGCCACCCTGCAGATGAACAGCCTCAAGGCCGAAGACACCGCCACCTACTACTGCGCGAAAAGTGCTAGTGGTTATACTACAGCTGCTGGTAGTGACATTGCTGGTGCTCCTGGTGCTGGCAAGTACCATGGGTTACTCCCATCCTTGCTAATACTCGCGACGTACTTGAGCCCCTTCCCGGGCGCCTGTTGCACCCATGCCATGAGGTAGCTGCTGAAGGGGAAGCTGGAGATGTTTGGGACTAGCCATGCACTGCAGCGAGCTCTGTGTTACCCCCAGTATCACAACATTTTGTTCCAAAAAATAAATTACTTTCCCATTCGTGGCCATCCTTATCCCAACTAGAAGAACGCGTTGCCTCTTATGCTTATTTTTGACCTCAGTATGGTCATGCTTTTGCCCTTTCATGGGTATTTTTGCCCCAAATACAGAGGTGTTTGCCTCTATATACCCTCTTTGCCCCAAATATGAGCACCTGGCCCATTTTCAGGGGCAATGTGGCCACAAAATCAAGGGTCTTTGCCATTTATGGATATTTTTCAACCCAAATAATACACATTTCTTACTTTTTAACACCAGTTTGAATGAAATTGGGGTATTGATTATTATCCTCTTCATTAACGCACATATTACATGGATTTTTTTCTCCTTTTTCCTTTTTTTTTCCAGAATACTAGCATATTTTTATCACTTTGGGGCCAGCTGAGTCCAAAATGTGGGAATGTCGTCCCACTCCAGAGATCAAAACCCCCGATTTGAGAAGTTTTTGCTGAGACCTGCAGCGCTGCCCAGCCAAGCGCAGCCAGCCAGATGTTTGTGCGGGGGCTATTTCTGGGCAGAAAAACGAGTTATTTTGGTACGGCCTGAGAGCTCAGCAGCTGGAGCAGCCCCAAAACACGGCTGCTTTCTGTTTTCTGTGTGCATTTATGAAGAGATTGCAAATAAATTACTCAGCATTAATATCAAATAACCCATCCCATTAAATATTTCCATGTCATAAGTGATCAGGGATCAAGATGAAATAACTGAAAGCACCCCATGAATTAGTGTGGGGTAGAGAATTAAATGAAATAATGAAGAAATGAAACAAATGCTAGTCAAAGATCAAAATGAAATAATTTCAGAGGCACAATTAATTAGAATATGGTGGAAAATACAAAAAAAATCAACTTTGTTGAGTTCCTTGTCTTCACCAAAGAACCGCAATGAATTCCAGTCAAGAATCAACCACGAAATAATTGAGTGCGTGCAATTAATGAGTGCGTGGTATGGAATGCAATGAAATACCCCAAGGAGGAAACGCAATGAAGTCCCTTCCCGGCACCTTCAAATACGCCCGTCCCCAGGATCCCCACAGCACCCAGCACCCCTTCCCTTCCCCACCATGAGTCCTTTGTGCCCGAGTTTGGCCAGGAGCTCCGCGTTTCTTCTCCATCAATGAAACCAGCACCGGGAGAAGCACCCAAAGCACTGCTGTCACTCGCGCAGTAGTAGGTGGCGGTGTCTTCGGCCTTGAGGCTGTTCATCTGCAGGGTGAGCGTGCTCTGCCCGTTGTTCCTGGAGACGGTGAAGCGTCCCTTCACCGCCGGCGCGTAGAATGTGTCACCATCACTCTCAATACCTGCGAAGAACTCGAGCCCCTTCCCAGGTGCCTGTCGCACCCAATATATGCGGTAGTCACTGAAGGTGTATCCGGAGCCCTTGCAGACCAGGGTCAGGGACCCCCCGGGATTCATGAGGGTCCCTCCAGACTCATCCAAGGTGGCGGCCGCCCGCAGCCCTGGGGAGGAAGGACAGAGAGCGGTGGGCTCAGCCGCACGGTACAAACCCTCTTGCTGTCTACAGCTGTCCTGTGGCCAAAATCCTTGTCTGGGACCTGTCCAGACCTGTGGGGCCTCCTGCAAGGCCTCCAGCCTCACCTCCGGCAACTACGGCATGCTCTGGGTGCAACAGGAACCTGGGAAGGGGCTCGAAGAGGTCACAGCTATTAGCACTAGTGGTAGTGGCACAGACTACGCGCCGGCGGTGCAGGGACGCTTCACCATCTCCAGGAACAACGGGCAGAGCACGGCCACCCTGCAGATGAACAGCCTCAAGGCCGAGGACACCGCCACCTACTACTGCACGAAAGAAGCTGGTAGTGGTTGGTACGGTGGTAGTGCTGGTGGTGTTGATGGCTGACAGTATTAACATCACCAGCACCAGCACCAAGATCTCCAGGAGCCCCAGCACCACCAATATCTTCAGCACCAACACCAGAACCATCAGCACTTTTCACGCAGTAGTAGGTGGCGGTGTCTTCGGCCTTGAGGTCACTCATCAGTAGGAAGAACACGGTCTGCCCGTTGTCCCTGGAGATGGTGAAGCGTCCCTTCACCGCCGCTGCGTACCATGTGCTACCACCATCATTGTTAATAACTGCGACCACTTCGAGCCCCTTCCCGGGTGCCTGTCGCATCCATCCCATGTCGTTGCTGCTGAAGTCAAAGCCGGAGGCCTTGCAGACCAGGGTCAGGGACCCCCCGGGACTCACGAGGCCCCCTCCGGACTCATCCAAGGTCTCGGCCGCCCGCAGCCCTAGGGAGTAAGGACAGAGGACTTTGGGCTCCGTTGACTTATTACGCATTTACTCAGTGCAGTGAAATAACCCAAGGAGGGTTAACCCAATTAATGCCCCCTTGGGTGCCTTCAAACACACAGCATCCCCACAGCACCCAGCACCCCTTCCCTTCCCCACCATGAGTCCTCGGCCTCACGCCTTCGCCCTCCTCCTCCTCCTGGCCGCCGTCCCAGGTAGGGCCCGGTCCCGCGGAGGCTGCCGGCGGCCCCGGCTCCCCACGGCCGTGCGGGGGCCCGTGCCGTGCGGCTGAGCCCACCGCTCTCTGTCCTTCCTCCCCAGGGCTGCGGGCGGCCGAGACCTTGGATGAGTCCGGAGGGGGCCTCGTGAGTCCCGGGGGGTCCCTGACCCTGGTCTGCAAGGGCTCCGGCTTCACCTTCAGCAGCTACTACTTGGACTGGGTGCGACAGGCACCGGGGAAGGAGCTCGAGTGGGTTGCAACTATAAAATACAATGGTAGGACTGGTTGGTACTTGCCGGAGGTGGAGGGACGCTTCACCATCTCCAGGAACAACGGGCAGAGCACGGTCACCCTGCAGATGAACAGCCTCAAGGCCGAAGACACCGCCACCTACTACTGCACGAGAAGTTATAACGGGATTGGATGTGCTGCTGGTGGTTGGATTGGTGGTGCTGCTGGTGCTGCTGGTGCTGCTGGTGCGGGAAATTTGGGCTTAATTTAGTACCTTGGGGTCAATGGAATGAGTTGGGTTCAGCAAATGATTTGGGGTGGAATGCCAGGGAATTGGGTGATCAAGATGAGCGATGTGACCACCACCACCACCAGCACCACCACCACCACAATCAATGCCAAGACCGTCAACATCACCAAGAGCATTTTTAATGTCACCCCAACCATCAATGTAACCAGCACCAGGAGCACCAGCAATGTCACTACCAGCAGCTGTAGTATGACTACTAGCACTTTTCGCGCAGTAGTAGGTGGCGGTGTCTTCGGCCTTGAGGCTGTTCATCTGCAGGGTGGCCGTGCTCTGCCCGTCGTTCCTGGAGATGGTGAAGCGTCCCTTCACCGCCGGCGCGTACTCTGTGTAACTACCATCATCGTCAATACCCGCGACCAACTCGAGCCCCTTCCCGGGTGCCTGTCGCACCCACTGCGTGCCGTAGTCACTGAAGGTGAAGCCCTGGGGAGGAAGGCAGAGAGTGGAGAGCTCCATTGACTTATTACGAATTAACTCTGCAATGAAATAACCCAAGGAGGGTTAACCCAATTAATGCCCCCTTGGGTGACTTTTCTACAAAAGACCTAATTATGTGGGGCAAAAGAAGCCATGAAAGGCTAAAACATAAAAATTACAAGGTTTAGAACACATTTAATGCACAAAGCGTGCTCTGCCCGTTGTTCCTGGAGATGGTGAAGCGTCCCTTCACCGCCGGCGCGTAGACTGTGCTACCACCACTGCTTATACCGGCGAAGAATTCGAGCCCCTTCCCGGGTGCCTGTCGCACCCATCCCATTTGGTAGCTGCTGAAGGTGTATCCGGAGCCCTTGCAGACCAGGGTCAGGGACCCCCCAGGCTGAGCCCACCGCTCTCTGTCCTTCCTCCCCAGGGCTGTGGGCGGCCTTGATGTTGGATGAGTCCGGAGGGGGCCTCGTGAGTCCCGGGGGGTCCCTGACCCTGGTCTGCAAGGGCTCCGGCTTCACCTTCAGCTACTACGACATGTTTTGGGTGCGACAGGCACCTGGGAAGGCGCTCGAGTTCGTCGCGGGTATTACCAGTAGTGGTAGTTACACAGTCTACGCGCCGGCGGTGAAGGGACGCTTCACCATCTCCAAGAACGACGGGCAGAGCACGGCCACCCTGCAGATGAACAGCCTCAAGGCCGAAGACACCGCCACCTACTACTGCGCGAAAGAAGCTGGTAGTGCTGGTTGGGGTTATGGTGAAGGTATTGCTGGTGCTGCTGATGCTGGAGCTGCTCGTGGCACTGGTTGTGGTACTGGTCATGCTGATGGTGTTGGTGATGGGCTTTGTGATGTTTATGACGGCGCTGGTGATGCTAATACTGTCAGCCATCAACACCACCAGCACTACCACCACTCCAACCAGCACCATAACCTTTCGCGCAGTAGTAGGTGGCGGTGTCTTCGGCCTTGAGGCTGTTCATCTGCAGGGTGGCCGTGCTCTGCCCGTCGTTCTTGGAGATGGTGAAGCGTCCCTTCACCGCCGGCGCGTAGTTTGTGGTACTACCAGTGTTGCTAATACGCGCGACCCACTCGAGCCCCTTCCTGGGTGCCTGTCGCACCCACTGCATGGTGTAGCTGCTGAAGGTGAAGCCGGAGCCCTTGCAGACCAGGGTCAGGGACTATTGAGGCTGAGCCCACCACTCTCTGTCCTTCCTCCCCAGGGCTGCGGGCGGCCATGACGTTGGATGAGTCCGGAGGGGGCCGCGTGAGTCCCGGGGGGTCCCTGACCCTGGTCTGCAAGGGCTCCGGCTTCACCTTCAGCAGCTACGGCATGAAATGGGTGCGACAGGCACCCGGGAAGGCGCTCGAGTGGCTCGCGGGTATTGACAACAGTGGTGGTTACACAGAGTACGCGCCGGCGGTGAAGGGACGCTTCACCATCTCCAGGAACAACGGGCAGAGCTGGTGGTGCTGATGGAGATGCTTCTGGTGGCCAGGAGAATTTGGGCACAGGCCCTTTCCTTGTGCCAGGCATGAAGGCAGCAGCTCCATCAGCCTCATCAACATAATGATCAATATCAGCGTGAGCAGGGCCTTCATCGTCATCACCATCATCATCACTTAGTAGTTTAGTGAGTAGTCGTGGTGATAGGAGGATGGTTGGAGTAGGTGACCTTGTAGCTCCTTTCCAAAATTTTTTTATGAGTCCGTGGTTCTTTGATCATAATTAACACCATTGACATCGTCGACAGCATGATAATTATCAGTGCCATCAACATCACCGACACCACCACCACCACCACCACCAGCATCACCCCCACCAGTGGCACCACCACAACCCCAACCAGTACCGGCAGCATTCAGCAGGCAGGGTGTCCAGTAGAGTCAAATTCATTTTGGGGACTTACAGCAGTGGTAGTGCTATGAAAAGCTTATCAATCCGATAACCCCAATTATAACTACTACCATCAGCTTTCGCGCAGTAGTAGGTGGCGGTGTCCTCGGCCTTGAGGCTGTTCATCTGCAGGGTGACCGTGCTCTGCGCGTTGTCCCTGGAGATGGTGAAGCGTCCCTTCACCGCCGGCGCGTAGACTGTGTAACTACTACTGTAGCTGATACCCGCAACGTACTCCAGCCCCTTCCCAGGCGCCTGTCGCAGCCACTCCATGGTGTAGTCTTTAAAGCTGAAGTCGGAGCCCTTGCAGACCAGGGCCAGGGACCCCCCGGGACTCACCAGGCCCCCTCCGGTCTCGTCCAACCTCGCGGCCGCCCACAGCCCTGCGGAGGAAGGACAGAGAGCGGTGGGCTCAGCCTGGGGGATCCTTGATCCTTACAACCACTACTACCAGCATTTTTCGCGCAGTAGTAGGTGGCGGTGTCTTCGGCCTTGAGGCTGTTCATCTGCAGGGTGACCGTGCTCTGCCCGTCGTTCCTGGAGATGGTGAAGCGTCCCTCCACCTCCGGCAAGTACCAAATTTTACCATCACTCCAAATACCCGCGACGTTTTCGAGCCCCTTCCCGGGTGCCTGTCGCACCCACTCCATGTTGTAGCTGCTGAAGGTGAAGCCGGAGCCCTTGCAGACCAGGGTCAGGGACGCCCCGGTGTAAATCTGGGACATGGAGCAGGAAATTTGGGCTTAGTTCAGTACCTTGGGGTCAATGGAATGAGTTTGGTTCAGGAAATGATTTGGGGTGGAATGCCAGGGATTTGGGTGATCAAGATGAGCGATGTGACCACCACCACCACCAGCACCACCACCACCACAATCAATGCCAGGACCGTCAACATCACCAAGACCATTTTTAATGTCACCACCACCATCAATGTCACCAGCACCAGTAGCACCAGTAATACCACTACCAGGAGCTGTAGTATAACTACTAGCACTTTTCACGCAGTAGTAGGTGGACACCCGCAGCCCCGGGGTTGACCTGGCAGAGCAGTTTCATCGTCCAACCATCGAAGGGTTAACATAAAAAGGCCCAGGTGTAGCCAAATCTGGGCAGATTCAACCCATTCTGCGATGGGTGCTGCAGGAAATTACCCTAAAATTCCAAAAGATGCATGTATTTTGTCCAAAAAGGTGTTCAAAGCAAAAATATCTCCATATTTGTCCCCAAACTCAACATATGGACCCAAACTCATTGATATTTGGGTGAAAAAGTGGCCATCTAGGCAACGAGGGGAACCTGGCTTTGGGCTTGGTGCAAGATGTTGGGCTCGGAGTTGGGAATTTGGGTTCGTTTAAGGGAATTTGGGCTTGAAGAATGGAATTTGGGCTCAGAGAATGGAATTTGGGCTCAGGGAAGGGAATTTGGGCTTAAAAAATTTGCCAAAAATGGGAATACTTTTGCCCCTTTGTCCATTTTGATCCCAAATACAGATATTTTTCTGCCGGTTTTGAGCATTCAGACTCCAAAAATAAAAGTATTTTCCCATTTCTGACCATCTTTCCTCCAAATACAGGGTCTCATCACCTCTTGACCTCAGTAGGGGCATTTTTTGCCCTTTCCTGGCTATTTTTGCCCCAAATGTGCTCATGTTTGGCTCTATATGCCTTCTTTACCCCAAAACATGAGTATTTGACTCATTCTGGGGGGCATTGTGGCCCCATGATGAGGATTCTTTACCTTTTCTTGATAGTTTGGTGCAAATAATACACAATTCCTGCTTTTTAACACTAAAATTCATCAAAATGGGATGTTGATTATTATTCTTGCCATTTAGACACCTATCAGATGGATTTTTTTCCTCTTTTTCCCATTTTTTCCAAAATACGCATTCATTTTTAACATTTTTGGGCCAGCTGAGTCCAAAATGCGGGAATTCATCCCAATTCTAGGCTGGAAACCCCCAATTTGAGAAGTTTTTGCTGAGCCCTTCAGCCCTGCCTCGGGTGCCCACCCAAGCGCAGCCAGCCAGGTGTCTGCGCGGGGGCTATTTCTGGGCAGAAAACGAGTTATTTTGGTACCGCCTGAAACCTCAGCAGCTGGAGCAGCCCCGAAATGTGGCTGTTTTCTGTTTTCTGGCCCCATTTTTTGCCTCCACACCTGGGGCCGGGGGCGGGAAGGCGCCGTGGGCACAAAAGCTCCGTGCCGGGAAGGTTGTAGGGGAGGAGATTGCAATTAATTAATTACACGTCCACGAGTGCTAATTGCATGTGAGAGATTGCAATTAATTAATTACACATCCATAAGTGATAATTGCAATTAAATGCAATTAAATCACTCAGTGC